GTTGTGCAATGAGCACTTTGCGACGGCATTTACAGGAAATTGTCCGAGAATAATAGCCGTGAAAGAGAGTATAGAGAAACATGTAAACACTTATGGTATAGTAAATAGATTTCGTATTTACTTTGCATTAATATTTTATTCGAAACGCTCCACGTGCAGCCGTGATCGGTAGCCGTATACTGTACAAGTTATAGCTCCTCTCTGCGTGGTATCATACGAAGGTCCATTCGTGTGGTGGTGGCGGGAGGGGGTGGGGGGTGTGCGTGCTATTAATGAGAGGGTTAGCGCATGCGTAGGGTTGCGATTAGGCGTAAGCCAGAAAGCTTACTACATTCGCCTAGTATACAACATTGTTTGGTAGCGGCACACCACCACCACTGCTCCGCGACAGCACGATGATATATATCATCTTATATATATTATATATAATATATATATAAAAGATTATATAAGCACATATATAAGCTGTTATATTTATTGCTTGTTAGTAGCTGGCGTCGCGCGATGGAAATTAAGCGCCTCGTTATACGCGACGCGCGTGTTGTATATTTAGGAGAACACCATTTGGAAATACTTTTTGAATTCTTGGGAAATGACGAATTTCTGCCAGATAACAGGAACGTCACTAGCTTTTTGTTAGCTGTAATTTATATACAAGCTATAGCGTGAGAAGAATTTTATAAAACTAGCTGATGTGAAGTTCGAGTTTTTTCAAAAAGCTATAGCTGGACCTGGATATTTGCCTATTTTGATAATTTAGCTGGTGGGCCTTAACCTTCAAGGGGCCGCGCACACCTAAAAAGATTTTCCCAGGGAAATCCGGTCTGATTAAAAAATCTCTTTCATCGTTTGTAAATCGGCTCCAGCGGACGCTTCCGATAAACACCCGCCCCACACCTACGCATAAAATTGATCGTTTTGTCGATGGTAGGCCCGCCATTTTGAATGTCATGGTGACACGGGCACGTTTCCAGCTTATTGGCTGCTCAATATTATCGTAGGGACTTTTCTGAGTTCACACCGCAAACACCTACAAAATCTTGTCGGATTAGACAAAATATCGCTCTCAACAATGATCGGTTAAAATCAAACATGTTTCGTTGTAGTACCGGTGCGCTAGTTTACATACGCGGAGATTGAGCAGGAAGTATTAGCAGTGTCGCTCCTGTTATCAGGGCTGCTATAATGTGCAGCCCTAATAAACGTAATAGTTGCCAATGTTCCGCTTTCTGTCTTGACTATATGCATAGCAGTGTTATCATAGGCTGGCCAACTTGCTTGCTAGCTTAACTAGTAGAGTTACCTCCATAAAAGAGCAATTTATGGAGGGTACTCTACTTAATAGTACATGCCGAGTGTATTGGGGCATTGCAATTGTTCAGAATTTCACTTTGTGCTAGAACTACGCAGAATCTATGGTTTTGTTTGGAGGTAGCTCTGATGTTAAAATGTATATTTGATTTATAACTGCATTTTCTTTGGCATGGAAAAAACATTCGCTTAAACTTCTGTATTTTACTCGACAGCAAACAAATTGTAAAATAAAGAAGCTTCTTGCGACATCAAAATTCTGCAAGTATGTATATACTTTATTTGATGCTTCACCCTTGATTTTGTAAAGAGTATAAATTAACTCACGTGATGCCAACTTTAAAGTCTCTAACTTCACACCGAAACATATAAACACTCTGTAGCAGCAGAACGAAATGGGCGCGCCAATTATAGTTTAGATTACCTCATCTTTAGCCGATGCTTAAGCTTTGGTGCCCACATCTTATCTCATAATTGGAATTCATTAGCAGAATTCTCATTTCCAAGGAATTCAAAAATATTTTTCAATGATGTTGAGGTGAACATCGCGCTCGTGGCGCGCCCATATGTGTGTGCTGTGTGTGAGGTTGTGTGTGTGGTGTGTGTGTGTGTGGTGTGTGTCGTGTGTGTGTTGTGTGTGCCTGCGCTGCGCGTGTGGTGCGCGATGTGTGTGTGTGTGGTGTGTGTGCTCTGTGTGTGAGTGTGTGCGCGTGTGTGTCCGCGTGCTGCGTGTGCGTGTGCGTCTGCGTGTGCGTGTGCGTGCGTGTAGTGACGTGAGCGTGTGAATCTGCATACTCTGCGGTGCGTCATGTAATTCTAGTATCTGATGGTCGAATTCTTAATTAAAATTATTATCGGCGTTTAGAAAATCGACGCTGTTGAGAGCGACCTGATCACGCTCCCCGGAACACGCGGGAGCAGTTCTTATGCGAGCGCGCGCACTCCCGGCCATCAGCGCACGCCATAGTGCAGGGTAGTCAGGTACGGATCGCCACGCGTTATATACTCGAAGATGGCCCGAGTCTTGAGTGGCGGTGGCTATGTTGGCCGAGGAGGCTGTCTCCCACCCTCTTCTCTCTCTCCTTCTCTCTCTCTCTGCCTCCTCTCTCCTCCTCTCTTCTCTCTCTCTCTTCTCTCTTCTCTCTCCTCTCTCTCTCTCTCTCTCCTCTCTCTCTCTCACTGTCTCTGCTCTCCTCTCTCTCTCTCTCTCTCTCTCTCTCCTCTCTCTCTCACTGTGCTGTGGTCACTCTCTCTCGTCTCTCACTCGGTGGTGCTGTCACCTCTCTCTATGCTGCTCCTGTCTGTGAGTGTCTCTGCTCTCCCTCTTCTCAAATCGCTCTCTTATGTATATATATAATATATATTATAATATAATATATGTGTGTGTGTGGCGGTCTGTGTGTGTGTGTTTGTGTGCGGGCGCATCGAGATTTGCCTGTGTGTGCGCTTGCGTGCGTGGTGACCGTCGTGTGCGTGTGTGCTGTGCGTGGGTCGTGCGCCGCCGTGAGCTGTGCTGTGTGTGCCCTGTGTGCCACTGCTGTCGTTTGTGTGTGCGGTCGTGGTGTGTGCTGTCGTGTGTTGTGTGTGTGCCCTGTGTGTGGTGTGGTGTGTGTGCGCATAAGGTAATACACGGGTGGCCCCACAGTAGGATACAGGTGAGGCGCCGCTGATACTGACAATGATACGGGCCTGCCCGCCGGTGTGTCTGTCACCGCCCGGACAGCTGATGCTGCGGGTGTGGGGAGCGAAGACAGAGTGGGGCGTGAGCAGGCAAGGATAGAACAGGACAGGGAGAGGGAGAGACCGTGGAGCTAGGAGCAGTGAGAAGAGCGATGCTGGGAGAGCAAGGAGCAAAAATAGCATGGACAAGAGTGCAACGGAGGTGGCGTAGGAAATATACGGGGAAGAGAAAATGGGAGCGCGGGGTGGGCAGCAGATAGGGGGTATGTTGAGAGGAGAGATATAGAAGAAGAGTGGCAGCTACGAGTAGTGAGACAGCAGGCAGTGCTGGTGAGTTGAATCCGAAAGCAGGGTAGAGTAGGAGGAAGATGTGCCGAGGGGTATTAGTGTGCAGAAACTTGGGAAATTGGGTAAAGTATTGGCGACAGGTAATGCTATAGGGAAGGGGGTAAGGCTAGGGAAAGCGCGGTAATGTATAGCGAAGGGTAAGCTTGGGAAGGGGTGAATGTATAGGGAAGGGGAGTAAACTAGGAAGGGGTAATGTATAGGAACGGGGTTAAGGCAGGGAAGCGGACGAGGTAGTCGGCAGGACAAGGGAGGGATCGGTCTTCTGAGAAGCAACTATATATACGTACAGGCAGGGACAGTTGCAGTTTTAGTCATCCGCACGGGCTCACAAAGTTTTACCCTTCTCCTTCTCTTCTTCTTCTATTCTATCTCCAGGGGGGTTTTCATAGTTTCCCATGTCCTTAACCATTAAATTTTATTTCACTATTCTATTCTATTCGGTTCTTATTGCTGTTCTATTTCTCATATTTCAATTCCTATCACTATTCTATTCCTATTCTATTTCTTTGTAGCCGAACTGCCTGTGTGTGTGTACGTGACCGCGCGGAGAGTTGTTACCTATGTACGACGCGCTGTTCACTCGTATCCGTCGCTGTATCGCCCGTTCGAGGTTTTATTCTTGTACGTACGCGAAGAGAGAGATGAGAGATCTGCTCTCGTGACACTTACTCGCGCTTGATGCTGCACGCGCGCACGGAGACACGCGAGATCTATTAGTCGGACCAGAAGCATTAGCCGACGCCTCCTTAGATCATGCTGTCGTCGCGTGAGACGACGGGACACGCAACATGACCATCTCACAGCGTAAGGCGCCACCCGCCTGCAACACATCGGCTGCCGCGTCACCGATTGATCGGCTCGTGAAACAGCAGACGTCGGGAACCATTAGTGGCCACTCTGGATGGTATCTATAATCTAATCACATCAGACGTCAGTTCGTCTGCGTCATAACCGGCTAGAGAGCTAGAGAGAAACCTTGATCATACGGCGCCGCCTCACCATTCCTGTTGTCCACAGAAAAGCTTTTCGGACGACAATCTGTCTCGACAAGCGGATTTTTCTCGGCCGGGGCGAGGGGCGGGGGGGCGGGGGTGCCGTGTATCTCTACACGAATCATCTCTGAAGGCACCTCCGACTGACGTCTTGTTGTGTACCGCTGCGTGCTGATGCGTTGGCTGTGTCGTGTGTGCGTGCTGTGTGTGTGTGTGTGCTGTGCTGCTGCTGATGTGTGTTGTAGTGTGCGCGTAGTAAATGCGTGTGTTCGTGCCGTGTGTGTGTGTGGTGACTGTGTGTTTGTGCGCCGGTTGCATGATGATTGGGTGTTGTGTCGGGTCGCGTGTCGTGTGTGGGCTCGTGTGTTCGTGTGCTGCGGCGTGGTGTAGTGCCTGTGTGGTGTTTGCCGTGTTGTGGGTGTGTGAGTGCTGCTGTGGGGGGGGGTAGTGCGTGCTCAGCGTGATGTGATCCTCCATATGTATGTATTGTATGTATGTA